ATTAATGGCCTCCACGATTCATTTTTCTATCATGTACAGACAGTACTCCTACCTGACTCATTTATCTCACCCCCCTGGTTTCCTCCACGACGCTCTTCTGCCTCGATGCTGCTTCTTTGGAAAGAGAAGACTGTGGACTGAATCCCTTTAAAATATTAGCCGGATTCAACCTGTCTTCCTTTAAGTTGTGGATGTTGGATGTTGTGTTCAGCCACAGGAGAGCCAATTAATATAAAAATCTTTTGTGAGGATTATATGAAGATTCTACCTTGACATAAAGGACATGGGAGTTTCTGAAGTCTAACTAAAATATAACACGATGGAATGAGCATGTAAGCACACAGTCATACACTGCTCTTCCAAGACTTTATAAAGAAGTACAAGGAAGAAATACGCAAGGCATTCTTCTCACTAGTTTCTCTGATGAGGTTGTACCCTCTGTCCCACTCACTTGATCTTGCTGTGCTGCCTGTGACATCGTTTTTTTGTTTTGTTTTGTTTTTTTTTTTTTTTTTTTTGGTCATCACACTCTTTATTCACACATCCTTGGTTTCCTTTTTCATGGTGCATACCTTACCTCAACTGGAACATGTACTGTTTCCACACATTTGTCTTAGTGTACAGTCAGCGTGAGTGTACACGGGGAGGATTGCTGGGGCTATGAGAAGAAAGAATGCTGGGACAAATTCAAGGTGTTCTATACAATGGAAGTTATTAAATATTTTTCAGTAGGTCGACAAACCTGAGGTCACTTGTGCTTTTTGACAATCTGATGTTTGAAGAATAGATGGGAGGAAAAAAAAAAAAAAGGAGGCTAGGAGGCAATTGCACGGTCCACAGGAGTTTAAGAATTTAGGAACTATGGCAAAGGCAAAATCGATGGGGTTGGCTACTAATTGTGCGTGGTGAGAGAGACACGGACGCTCTGTCCCTGACAGAGCAAGGAAAAGCACATGCCTGAAGATTTATTTTCTGTAGCAGGGGCGGAAGATGGATGGTATTGGTTAATATTTTTTCCTTTGTACTTTCCTTTTTACAGAACACTGATTGTGGCTGTTTTTACTTTTTCTTATTTCTAAAGGACTGAAATTAACACATGCTTCTTTTGCGTCCTTTAGCAGCTTAGGTTAAGAGCAATACACAGGTAGTCTTTCAGCGATTACACCTACCCTGCAGCAAAGCATACAATCAATGCCTGCGCTTTAGCCAGTCTCAGGTTTCTGTCTACTGGATGTCAGCAGCATTTTACGGAGCCCTGGTGTATGGGCGGCTTATCCACTGCCCTGAGCTCGCTTGTGGGGGGACAGGTCAGTTTCCCTAGGTGGAAGGCCTTTGCAATGGAAGTCTTACTCCCGTCTTCAAGCGAGGGTCCAGCAGAGCCAGTTCAAGGACAGCGAGAGAAAGGGACCCCCGAAGTGAGAACCCGCAGTGAGCCGAGGTCGGGCTTGAGCCCCACTTCCGCCGGGAGCCCGACGGCCACGCGCGGGCTGGGCCCGGGAGCGGGGATCGCGGCGCGGAGAAGGGCTCCCGCAGCCCAGCGCCCGACTCCCGCCCGGGC